TTTTTTTTTGTCAGAAATTAAGGTTTCGAAAAAACCATTTACTTACAGGTCAGTATTGCAGAAAGCAAAAATATTTACACGGAAAAATTAAAAGCATTTTTTCCATCACTTGTATAATTTTTCCACCCAAAGAAGAGAGTAAGAAGAGATTTCCCGATACCGTACTTTCCATTCTTCAGTTATTACAAAGTGTTGGTTGGGCACCGCTGGATGAGAGAATTTTTGAGGCAGGAAAAATTTTTTGAAAAAAAAGTCCCAAAAATTTTGCAGATCTCCACCATCGGATGCGTGTACATGTACCGTTTCGAATGCGCATGAATCGGATGTTAATGTAATGTCATGGAATAAGTTTGAGCCACTAATTGCAAGTGGTGGTAATGATGGCGCCATAAAAGTTTGGTCACTCAAAACGATGCAGGTATTTTTTGAATTCTTGAAAAAACACACCGCATTAAAAGAAGTATTTTTGACAAATTGGAAGCAATGTTTTGCAACTTCTAGACTGAAATTTTAATCAGGTTTTTCTTCAGCCAAGTGTTTTTGGAATTTTTTTTAAAATTTAAACCGTGAAAGTTTGTTTGACACTAAAGGCCCGCCAATGAGAGGGGCACAGTCGAATATTGTCAACGGTGGGAAAGCAGGAAGTGCTAATTTAGATATCCAGATAAGCGGGCCTTTATGTGCTTTAGCTGTTGTCCAGTCTGTGTTTCATCCCTAAACTGTAGACACAGACGACAGAGCCGGTGCGGAATGGGGTGGGAATCATCAGTATATTGCCCCATTCCGCCGTGTTCGAACGAATATGTAATTTTCCGAAGGAAGATGAAGGAACAAAGAAAGGAAGTGGAGGTGACCGTACTTGAAATAACTGTTGCAGAAGTAGAAATAAAAGTAAAACTAACATGCAGCAGATACGTCTCCGTCTTTGTTCTTTTCGCCGCTAAGTTAGAACGGTATCCATCCAAACAGATAGCGCACATACATTGAATAAGTAGTAGGTAATAACTGAGTACTAAAAAGCAGAAGGCATTTGAAAAAGATCGCTAACATAGGAGGGCCCTCATACCATGCTCTTGTCATAATTTGTGTTTTTCGGGAGTACTGTGTCACGTTACTTCATATTTTTATGAGTGTATTGGGCGCATTTGATTGAATGAATGGCTTATGGGGTTTTGGCATGTTCGGAAATAATGTTTGATGCACGAAATAGGTTACTTTACTGGCAACTGTTGGACGTTTTTTAGTGAGCATGGTACTCATCTGGGAGTGAATGAATAACCTACTTACCTTGCTGTTAGATGCGCAAGCCTGTGTAACCGAAGTGATTGGTACTTGCCACTCAGAGTACAGGAGATTGGCTTAACTCTGCATATCTCAGTACCATATGAGCTCCAATTTGACAGATCTCATGCAGTTTTGGTAATATTTTCGAAGTAACGAATTTTTGCCTGTTTTAAATTTAGTACAACGAGCCGGTTGCCCGATTTCGACAGCACAAAGCACCAATAACATCCGTGGAATGGTCACCGTACGAGACAACAACGATAATGGCGTCCGGAGAAGATGATCAAGTTACGATCTGGGATTTGGCGCTTGAGGCAGATTCAGCGGACGAAATTGATGGTGTACCACCACAGCTGCTCTTTGTTCACATGGGACAGAGCGAAGTAAAAGAGGTAACTATTTATTTAGCATTTCATTATCATTATTTCCTCGTAAACATTTGAGTGATCAGGCCAGCCTTTATCAGATTTTGATTTGAACCCACTTTTCTGCCATACAAAACTTGATTTGAACAGCTGTAATTCATGATCTGCTTCTCCGCCTTTCGGCTGTAATTTACCTTCAAGCTTATGCTTTGATTTAAAAAATCTTAATATTCGAATCATGATTTTTTTTTTTTTGAAGGTTTAAACCAGGCCATAAATTATAGCTGTCCAAACCAAGATTTGGACAGAAAACAATTGGGTTTTGGCTAGTGCTGCATCGCCTGATGGTCAGCCTGCTGGCGATCGTGATGTACCTTAAAATTTAAGCTTTGGCTATTAAACTGTCATAGATGTGCCACCAAAAATGAGTTCTGTTTGCATGCATTTTTTCTGTTTCGAAAGCCCCGTTTCAGGTGCACTGGCACAAACAGATTCCACATTTTGCGATCACAACAGCACTCTCCGGATTCAATTTATTCATCCCGAGCAACTTGTAGCCATCCTGCTTTTCAGTCACTTCAACAAAAGATAACTTTTGTTAGAATTTTTTGTTTGTTAAAAGCATATTCGGTGCTCATTTTTGTTAAGAAATGCTGTGTTTTTTCGTCGGTGAACATCTCATCGGCCACGAATTTCCGACGTGATAATATCTTTTTAAGCGTGTCTTGAGGAATCCC